CTGCCCACCCTCCCCACCCCCACCAGCAGCATTCGGCTCTCAGTTCCCTGGAACCCTGCTGGCATGCTGCCTGGACGGCCTTCCCTGCTCTTTCCTTGATCAACTCCTGTCATGCTTGAGCCTCAGTCAGCTTGTCACTTCCTTAAGAGAGTCCTTCTCTGATCTCCCAGCATAGGTAAACCTTCCACATTATATGCTCCTACATTCCTTATCACAATTGTAACTAACTGTGAAATAGCTTTCGTGTCTGTTATTCCCATCAGATTGTAAGCTCTAGATGTCAAAGACCCTACAAATCTTATGCACTGTAATAGTTTCAGTGCCTGATGCATTATAAACGCCCGAGTGAATAAATGAACGAACATTTTATGAATGACTATTTCATAAAACTTTCAGAGGAACAAGCCATTACAATATTATTTACATCCAGAGCTTAATTCTCCTTCTCGTCCTGCCCTGAATGAACATAGGAAGTGTTCTCTGGGTCACGTGATTCACACAAAACATACATGTTTTATAAAATAACTTCAACTTTCATAAAAATAAGCCCCCAAAACCAAGCATTATGCAACAAAAACATCACTTGCTCCCAAAGAATCCAAGCAACTTAAATGACTGGGTATAATAGGAAAATCCAAAATATTTGTTTTGTTTAACATTGTCTTATTTGTGCATACTAGCCTGGATAGTCACATCAATTCTTTTAAATTTTAGGTTATTTTGAAAATTGTATCCAGTTGGGTAAAAAGTGCAAACAAGCAGTCTCATAGCTATGAATTGTCTACACATTGAAACCTTTCAGTACACAATTATCACCAAAGTTAATGTGGTCTCCTTCCCCGAAGGCCCCAGCAACCCCGCAGATATGTCCGTGACTTGTTTCTGTGCCCTTTCAGTCTCAAATTACCCTGCTGAGTCAGATAACTGGAGAACAAATTAGCACCAACTGCTAAGGAAATTTTTCTGATACAAAAATCTGACCTTAAACCCCCCAAGCCCTGAATATCCTCTGTCAGAGTGCTAACAGTTCACCAGATTTGCACTGAAGAGTCTAAAGTTTCACGCTCTCATTCATGTTTCCTCCACAATTCTTGTCTTACCGAGAGAAGGGATAGGACTCAATTGGTTTGTCAGTTTTTTGACCAGGATAAGTCATTATTCAGTTGAAAGAAGGGGGAGGGGAAAATCTAACCGTATTCTGCGACAGCATTCAAACCCACGGATACTTGTGCATTGTTCTTCCCAGCCCTTTGCTCGTTTTATCACCCTATATCCAGTTGGACAAATAACAGTATGAATAAAGGTTATGTTTTGAGGGTAGGTGACACAAACACACACACACACACACACACACACACATAATTCACAGCAGGAGGAGATATATTTGGATGTAATCAAGTCTTTCTCTGGAGTGACTGACCTGCATGCTTTTAAATGATCAGACCCATCATGGTAGGTGGCAGGAGGCTTCTGAAGGAATCCTGCATTCTCCACAGGCTTGCCACCTTCTTTGACTGCCAGCATTTCAGTGCTGGAATCTGTCTCTGAAAACATTCTCTTGATTGTTTCATTTTGCCCAGGCCTGTGCAAGAGCCGAGGATCCCTGTGATGGTACCTGCCTCTGCTTTCCTCGTGCTTCCTTGACGGTCTCTTAATGTCAGAGGACTGTCTTGGCAGGGAAACACTGCATCCTTGGTATGTTGTGCCTTTTCCTCTGTGGAGATTTAAAGAGTAGCTCTCACACTCGGTCAGCTCCGGGTGCTTTTTACCTTTGGATCCCAAATGTACTGGATGGATTTCATTAGGAGCGGAAGACTCATCCAAGCTTCCACTTGGTTTCTTATTTCTCCTTCTCCGAGACAGGCGGAACTTCACTTGGGCTCTTCTTTTTGCCTGAATCCAGTGACTCTCATCGGTGGACGATGAATCTGAAGAATCTGTGTCAGTCTCACTCCATCGGTGGCTGGGGATTTGGAGGTGAAAATCCTTTCTTCTCCCCTTCACTTGTTCTTCTGTGTTCCTGTACCTCAGAGCAGCCCTCCTCTTCCTCCTAGGCCTCTGTTTTACTGATTTCTTACCAGACTCCTTCCTAGCAGGGCTCAGCACCACGACAGGGGTGCTTTGCTCAAATGAGGCTTCTGACATGTCATGTAAGATGGCAGATCTAGATAAAGCAGCAGGCGAAGGATGGAGAATGGGAATGGAGAGGAAAGCCATGGGAAAACAGAGAGAGAGCGCGATGAAAATGACAGCACGGACCCAAAGCTGGTAAATAAAGATCAAATGAGGGAAATGCACTAAGGGAGAAAAATTAGGCTCGTATAAATTATCCACGGACAATGTAAGGCAGAGGCAAGAGTCACACAGTCTCAGCAAACACAGCAAGAGTACAAAGCACTGGTCTAAAAACACACCAAATGGGATCATTTGCTGGGCACTTACCTGCAGATGTCCTGAGTGGATGGACAGACAGACAACCTTGACTGGCTCCTGGGAGCTGTCCCTGTGGTCGGGCTGCTCGCCTGGAGAAACAAGTTAGATAATTTGGCGTCTTGGTTAAGGTAATACATGGTCGATATCTTGCTTTTTTCCCACATATTTAAAAAATTACAACAAATGTGGCTGCCGGTCATGTTGCTCGTAAGGCAGCTCACAGGATATAGGAAGTCGGAGGGCCGGTTTTGCAAAAGCAAAACTGATTTGAGGAACTTGGAACAGCTGAGATGCTGTACCACTTTGCTGTTTCTTCATTTGTGAGAGAGGAAGATGATTCCAGAAGTTTCTATTCTATTTACTGTAAACTTTTGAGGGGAATGGCTCAATTTGCCTTGGGAACAAATAGGCAACCCTTGAATAGCCTATGATAGAAAGGACACAATGTCTATTATGTGACCAGGATGATAATAATCCAGGAAGCTTAAATAATCAAATAGCCCTTAGATTGCTAGATACTGCCTGCGGTTAACATTGTCACTTTAAGGCCCCAGGAGATGATATATTTAAAAACACTTCATAATATTTAAAAGCCTGCAGTGATTATTATTATTTCATCATTGACACTAATAAAATCTATCCATTGCAACATTATTGAACCTTCATATCTTTTAACCTAAGAGAGCCTGAAATTATGCAGACTGTTGGCACAAATTTGAGTCCATTTCATGAAACTCCTATCTTTGAAACACAACATTTTCTTCACTATTTTGACTTATTTAACTGTTGTATTTAGTACAGACAATAATGACAAATCAAAAGCTAGACTGTATTGAGAATTTACTGTGCATAAGGCACGTGCTGTGGTTTATCTACTGTCCCTTTAATCCTTACAATAATCTCACAAAACAGAAATACTAATAACTAACAGTTTTGAGGGAATATTATGTGCCAATCACTGTTCTAAGTAATTTTCATATGTTCATTCATCAATACTCACAAGAAACACATGTGGCACATACTAGAATTATTTCCATGTTACAGATGAGAAAACTGAGGAATTGGTGCTGCTCTGTGCTAGTAGGTGGTAGAGCAGGGCTTTGGGTTAGAAATCCTGCTCCTCTATCTGCTCTCATTCCCACCTAGAAAGGCACCCCTCTCCTTTACATAGAGGTAACTGAGGGAGTCCCAGGTCCAGATTTAGGCCATTCTGACTGCACAGATGAAGTTGCCACCAAGAAAATAATAGTAAAGGAAGAAAGATTAACCCCAAATTTCAAAGTACTTCTAAAACTCTCCATATTAAAGATATATACATAGAAATCAACTATAAGAAAAAACTGCAAAAAAAATTAAAAACAACACCTAAACATGTGGAGGCTACAAAATATGCTACGAAACAACCAAGGTATCACTGAAGAAATCAAAGAGGAAATAAAAAATACCTGGAGACAAATGAATATGGAAACACAATCATCCAAAATCTCTGGGACTCAGCAAAAGCAGTTCTAAGAGGAAAGTTTATAGCAATACAAGCCTACCTCGGGAAACAAGAAAAATCTCAAGTAAACAACTTATCCTTGGGCTTCCCTGGTGGCGCAGTGGTTGAGAGTCCGCCTGCTGATGCAGGGGATGCGGGTTCGTGCCCCAGTCCAGGAAGATCCCACATGCCGCGGAGTGGCTAGGCCCGTGAGCCATGGCCACTGAGCCTGCGCGTCCGGAGCCTGTGCTCCGCAACGGGAGAGGCCACAACAGTGAGAGGCCCATGTATCGCAAAAAAAACAAAACAAAAACAAACAAAAAAACCCCAACTTACCCTTACACCTAAAGGAACTAGATAAAGAAGAACAAACAAAAGCCAGAGTTAGTAGACAGAAAGATATAATAAAGATCAGAGCAGAAATAAACAAACTAGAGACTAAAAAAAAGAAAAGAAAAAAATAGAAAAGATCAGTGAAACTAACAGCTGGTTCTTTGGAAAGATAAGCATAATTGATAAACCTTTAGCCAGACTCATCAAGAAAAAAAGAGAGAGGGCCCAAATCAATAAAATCAGAAATGGAAAAGGTAAATTACAACCAACCCCACAAAAATACAGAAGAGCATAAGAGACTACTATGAACAACTATATGCCATGAAAATGGACAACCTAGAAGAAATGAGCAAATTCTTAGAAATGTACAATCTCCCAAGACTGAACCAGGAAGAAACAGATAATATGAACAGACCGATTACCAATAATGAAATTTAATCCATAGTTAAAAGACTCCCAACAAACAAAAGTTGAAGATCAGATGGCTTCACAGGTGAATTCTACCAAACATTTAGAGAAGAGTTAATACCTATCCTTCTCAAACAATTCCAAAGAAATTGCAGGGGAGGGAACACTTCCAAACTCTTTCCATGAGTTCAGCCTCACCCCGATACCTAAACCAGACAAAGATATTACACAAAAAAGAAAATTCAGGCCAATATCACTGATGAGCACAGATGCAAAAATCCTCAGCAACAATACTAGCAAACTGAATCCAACAGTACATTAAAAGAATCATACACCATGATCAAGTGGGATTTGTCCCACAGATGCAAGGATTTTTCAATATCTGCAAATCAATCAATGTGATACACATTAACAAACTGAAGAATAAAAACCATATGGTCATATCAATAGATGCAGAAAAGCTTTTGACAAAATTCAACACCCATTTATGACAAAAACTCTCCAGAAAATGGGCATAAATGGGAATATACCTCGACATAATGAACACATATGACAAACCCATAGCTAACACCACACTCAATGGTGAAAAGCTGAAAGCATTTCCTCTAAGATCAGGAACAAGACAAGGATGTCCACTCTTGTTATGTTTATTTAACATAGTTTTGTAAGTCCTAGCTTCTGCAATCAGAGAAAAAAATAATAAAAGGAATCCAAATTGAAAAGAAAGAAGTAATACTGTCACTGTTTGCAGATGACATGATACCATACATAGAAGATCCTAAAGACAACACCAGAAAACTAATAGAGCTAATCAATGAATTCAGTAAAGTGTCAGTATTCAAAATTAATATACAGAAATCTGTTGCATTTCTGTATTAATAATGAACTATCAGAAGGAGAAATTAAGGAAACAATCCCATTTACCATCACCTCAAAAAGAATAAAAACTGGAATAAAACTACCTAGGAATAAAGCTACCTAAGGATGTAAAAGACCTGTACTTGGAAAACTATAAGACTCTGATGAAAGAAATTGAGGACGACACAAACAGATAAAAGATATGCCACATTCATGTACTGGAAAAATTAATACTGTTAAGATGACCATACTACCCAAGGCAATCTACAGATTCAGTGAAACCCCTATCAAAATACCAAGGGTATGTTTCACAGAACAGGAACAAATAACTTTAAAATGTGTGTGGAAACACAAAAGACCCCCTATAGCCAATAATATCTTCAGAAAGAAGAACACAGCTGGAGGAGCTATGTTTCCTGACTTCAGACTATACTACAAAGCTACAGTAATCAAAACAGCATGGTACTGGTACAAAAACAGAAAAATAGATCAATGGAATAGAACAGAGAGTCCAGAAATAAACCCATGCACTTATGATCAATTAACCTATGACAAAAGAGTCAAGAATATACAGTGGAGAAAAGTCAGTCTCTTCAATAAGTGGTACTGGGAAAACTGGACAGCTACATATAAAGAATGAAATTAGAACATTTCCTCACACCATATACAAAAAAAAAAAAAAAACCTCAAAAAACCCCAAAAAACCCTCAAAATGGATTAAAGGCCCAAACGTAAGACATAAACCATAAAACTCCTAAAGGAAAACAGAACACTCTTTGACATCAATTGTAACAGTATTTTTTTTGATGTGTCTCCTAAAGCAAAGGAAATAAAAGCAAAAATAAACAAATGGGACCTAATTAAACTTAAAAGCTTCTGCAGAGCAAAGGAAACCATAAGCAAACAAAAAGACAACCTACTGAATGGGAGAAAATACTTGCAAATGATATGACAGATAAGGAGTTGATATGAAACATATAAACAGCTCATGCAACTCAACATCAAAAAACAAACAACCTGATTATAAAAATGGAAAGACGACCTGAATAGACATTTTTCTAAAGAGGACATTCAGATGGCCAACAGACACATGAAAAGATGCTCACCATCACTAATCATCAGGGAAATGCAAATCAAAACTGCAATGGTATATCACCTCACACATAGCAAGACAACTATCATCAAAAGGAAAACAAAAGACAAGTTTTGGAGAGGATGTGGAGAAAAGGGAACACTCCTACACATTGCAGCCATTGTGGAAAACTGTATGGAGGTTTCTCAAAACACTAAAAATAGAATTACCACACATGACAGAGCAATTTCACTCTTGAGCATACATCTGAAAACAACAAAAACACTAATTCAAAAAGATACATGCACCCCAGTGTTCACAGCAGCATTGTTTACAATTGCCAAGATATGGAAGCAACCTAAGTGTCCATCAACAGATGAATGGATAAAGAAGATAATATTCAATGGAATATTACTCAGTCATAAAAAAAGAAAATTTGCCATTTGCAAAAACATGGATGGACTTGGAGGGTATTATGCTATGTGAAATAAGTCAGACAGAGAAAGATAAATACTGTATGATATCACTTCTACGTAGAATCTGAAAAATAAAACAAACTGGTGAATATAACAAAAAAGAAACAGACTCAGATATAGAAAACAAACCAGTGGTTACCAGTGGGGAGAGGGAACAGGCAAGGGACAAGATAGGGGCAGGGGATTAATAGGTACAAACTACTATGTATAAAGTAAGTACGCTACAAGGATATATTCCACAATGCAGGGAATACAGCCATTTTATAATAACTATAAATGGAGTGTAACTTTTAAAAATTGTGAATCACTATGTTGTACACCTGTAACACACAATATTGTACATCAGATATACTTCAATTTACAAAAAGCTAAAAAAAAAAAAAAAAAAAAAAAAAAAAGAAAGAAAAAGGTAAATGCAGATGATTGTGGGATCCAGAGGAAAAGAAACTAATTCTAACTCAA